GACTTGACAACCTTGTCAACAGGGAATACCTTTACCTTTACCTATAATCTAAAGCAGATGTGGAAAACTTCTAGGACTGCAGAGTTTTACTCTCACACACAGACATTGGAAGGTCACACCTGCCCTGAACCCACTATTTTTAGCCCCTAATCTCCATGTCCCCATTTTGGGGCCTAAAACTAGGAAATCATGCTCCCCCACCCTAGAACTTCAAGAGAGGCATCTTTTGTAGTAGGGCCTATCTGAAAGGTGATAGTTGGAGAAAAAAGATCCAGGGTGGCCTCTTTTCAAAACTGGGGGTAAAAAAATCCCTTCTTCCAAACAAAACAGGCTTGCAGAAGTGAAAATGACCCAGAATAGATAATCATAGAACAGCCTGCTGGCTTCTATGCTCAGGATACAGTCAATCAGTTCTGGGGTTTGCAGTATGACCTCATATTTGTGGGGCTGGTATATGTGGTTCTACTTGTCCTTGTCTGGAAAAAAATTCTCTCTAGGTATTTTCTAGGTTCTCCAGTGTGGCTCTATGGTCAACTTCCACCAGAAGTCATTCATTTTGATTAGGTTTGCTGTTATCTATGGGACTGTATCCCTTATGGATATAGGGTTGTACTGTATTTGAAGCCTCAAAGGAGCTATCCAAGGTGCTGAATTCCATCTCCAAAATAGGTTTAGGACCATGGACAATTATGCTTTAAAGTCCTAAATAAAACCCAGAGTGCATTCACTGCCCAACTCTTACTGAAGCCACCCCTGATCATGCCCCCTATAGGCCTCTGGAGGCATGACTGGACAAATTTTTAGGCCAAATTATTTTTAAGGACCAAGGAGGTCTCCATAAAAATATGTTGCAAGTAGTCCATGGGCCACACATTACCCAACCTGACCTAAAGAGTTAATTTATGGCATAATCTGTCTCATTTTCATGACAATTCTTTGTTTCAGCTAGGCTAACAGAAAATGACTGGCTGCCGGTGCCTTCCATATTGTTCGGGTGGCGATTTCCTGCTTGCTTTCACTATCCAAGCTGCTGAACCCAGAATAGGGCTGTAAGGGCTTCTACACATCCTACTCT